ATATGCAGTCAAATCTGACTACATTTGTATGGGTCATGAATGTGGTGCTTAAAGGAAACCTGAAATTATAGTTTGGGATTTATACTGTAAGTGTGAGGGAGTTTCATGTTGGGCAGTTTCCCTTATCTGTTAGATGCAGGAGAGAGTTGGTTCCCTGTGCTGCAGGATATAGTACCCTAGAACAGTGTTTCTCAACCCATGGGTTGTGACCCAAAAGTGGGTTGCAAGAATATATGAAAGGGTTGCAAACAAACTTTAAAAATGGATTCTCCTTTAAAGAAGAAAAATGTGGGGAACAGTGGCTTTTCCCTTGCAGGCTGGCAGAGTTCCAGCTTGCGAGGGGCTGCTTGGACCTCCCCCTGTGCCCCACACATCCACTCCCTGCCCCATATGTGCAGGGGGTCGGGAGTGAGGGGCACTGGGTCAGGACTGGCCACTGATGTTTACAAATGAGTTCTGGTACAAAAAAAGGTTTACAACCACTGCCCTAGAGGCTATATCCTGCAGTTAGACACATTTCCCATGGAGTTCAGGGCCTTGTTTTACTGATCTAGAAACTACAAAATAAAGCCTTATTGGGCTTGTGCCATATAATTACTTAAAATGGAGTGACTGCCATTTAGTTTTCATGTTTCCTTGGGTTAAAATTGTGTCATTTAAATATATTAAAGAAAACAAATCTGTCAGATTTCATAGATATTAGGGGCTGGAAGGGAACTCGCAAGATCATCGAGTCTGGCCATAGGCAGGAAGTCTGCTGGGTTCAAATGATCCCAGCAAGATATGCGTTCAAACACCTTTTGAATGAGTCCAGAATGGGTGCTTGCACCACCTCTGGGGGGAGTCTGTTCCAGACCCTGGACACTCAGATTGTAAAGGAGCTTTTCCTTACGTCCAGTCTAAATTGGCTTTCCAGAAGTTTGTGGCCATCAGACCTTATCCCTTGGGGAGCCCTGAACATGCAGAAGAGCTTCCACGGGGCTGGAGTTCTGGCTTTGTCCTGCCTGTTTACGAAGTGCCACATTCTGTCTAAAATTTTCTACAGCAGTCGAGACAGTTAATGGCTGAATAGTACATAGTACACTGCAAACAGTTCAGCTGAATGGGGAGAGAAGGTGGAATGTCACAGTGGAACTTTTATCTATATCTTTTTTTTGAAGGTTACCAGATCTGTTACGAGATTTTTAACCATTTCAAGTGTCCTTTTCTGCTGCTATTTTGAAATTTGGTACATGTATTTGTTGTAGACTAGTGGTACTCAAATGTTTGGTCCTGCAGGCCAGTTGAGCGCCATGGTACCAGTTTGTGGGCCGCTTCAGGCCCTGCCCTGCTTCTGCTTAACCCCAATCAGGCTCCACATGGGCTCTGCTGCCCCCATGCACCAGGATCAGGCCTTGTGGCCTCATGCTGCCCCTGTGTGCCAGGATTGGGCCCTTGGGACCTGCATGCTGACATTAGGCCCTGGCATTCCCCCTTCCAGCCCTGTGCACTGGGATAGGGCCCTAGTGCCCCATACTGCAAACTGTTGTATTGTGAGAAAGGGGAATCAGCATTGCTTAACTACCTTCAGCATCTGGGTACTCCAGTTGCATTGGCAAGCCCACAGAAAGGCCAGTAGTCTTATTCTGGATCACTGTCACTGAAAACCCTTTGAGATTCCAGATCTGTTCAGTTATTCTGATATTATAAAAGCCTAAGTCTGTCTGTCTGTCTGTCCGTAAGGCTTTATTCACACACTGGCTGACAGAAACAGGCAATCAGAGTGCTCCAAGCGTGGGGGAGCTCCGCCATGATTCTGAAGCCGCACCGAGGGCTGGACAGAGGGTGGGGGAGCTGAGGCCAGCCTTGGCTCCCCTACCCCACTCCATGCAAAAGACAGAACAGCGGCAGCATGGGGCGGTAGGTGGTGGCACTCCATCCAAGCCCCCTCGCCCATCTCTGTCATTCTTGACAGGCAATTGGCTAGTTCCTTATATGCCCCACCAGTGGAAGCTGAAGCACTTGAACGTCTGTGCACTGTTCAGAAAGTGCTGCTTTGCAGGTTTGGTTCAGACCCTTGCTTACATCTTTGTTTTTGTTCAGTACAATGTTTTACTACAGCTGTATGACTTCACTGCTTGGTAATCATTTACTTTGTCATGGTTATGGGTCTCTGTTATGCACACTGATTCAAAACTGACCTAGAGGGTGGGGACAGGGCAGGAATGGAGAGTTATCCCTGGTGCTGGAATTTTTCTAATTTACATTTACTTGCATATGTAAACAGGGGTGCCCAGTGCTCCTGCAAACCCAATACCTGCTTACATGCAGCAGCAACAATTGCTTGAAACATCTGCACATCCCCAAGTCTGTAGGGACTTGACATATGAAGTGAGACCTTGTGGACAGATAACTTCACAAAGCTATGCATTCCTGAGAGATCTCTGACCTGGTGGTCACAGTCTCCCTGTCTCTTCTGGTTTGGTAATGTTAGGAATGTGACCTTCCTACAGCAAGCAGCCAGTACTAACAGAAGCAGCTGTTCTGTGTCTTGCAACCCTTTGTGAATATGAGCAACAGCCCCAGCCTCTTCTGATCCGTTGCCTTGGGATACTTTCTCTTAAAATCTCAGCTCCTGGAGTTGATTGCAGACAAATGTCTCTTTCCATCTCAAAGGGAAAAAAAAAGGTGGATTGCCTTTGGGCTGTAAACAGGAAGCTGGGCAACAATGACCCAAGAAGATTGAGCATTTCAGAGAAGGCAAATTAAAAGCATGTAATTTATTATTCACTATATTATTTTTTAAAAAAGCTTAGGATACATTTGGAGCCTGACTTGTGTTTTATGAATGCTTGCAGTTGACAATACTGTATGCCACCTACCATGCCTGTCACGAACTGACCAACTTTCAGGGAGCAAAAGCTGAAATACAATTCCAGACTCTCCAAAGCCTCCTAGAAACTTAAGCAGTCTCGATACTACTGGTTCCAGTTAGTACAGCTGCCTGTGCTGTAGCACTGCAGATGAGCTCGTTAACCCCTTGACAAAGCAGAACTACATTGCTTGGGTGCAGGTTTGTCTGAATCCAGCTTATTCTGGCCATAGAACAAATGCATCCTGGAACTGGGGGCAGGGAAGTCTCAGCCAAATCAGGACTCATTCTCCACCCCTTATTCCCTCTCTCTCCCTCCACCCCTACAATTCAGAAGAAAATGCCTGTTTCTTTGAGGATACTGGAGCACAGCTCTGAAACTTGGAACTGTCCTAGAAAATTTGGGATGGTTGGTTGCTTCTCAAAGCTGCATTAATTGTAGATGCAGAAGTCCCTGGGAGACTAGTGTCAACATTGTCACCACATCTAGATAGCCCTTGGCTTGGAAAGTGCATTTGGTCTTTAGTGGTGTAGGTTGTAGCTGTGTTGGTCTAAGGACACAGGCAGACAAGCTTCTTTGGGTGAATCTGATACCTTTTATTAGACCAACTTAAATAGTTGGAAAAAACATTTTTAGCAAGCTTTCAGGTTTAAAAACCCTTTGTCAGGCTGAGGAAGTCTCTGCAGCTGGTGTCTGTTCTTCCTGGTCTTTAGTGACAGCTGTAAAGTAGCTGCTAGCAAGGTTGCCTATAGTCCCTGCAAAATTATCAGTACAGTACCTGCCTGTTGGTGTAAAGCCCAAAGAAGAGTAAATCCCTAAAACTGCAGCTGTGTGGGTTGGAGCACTGAACAATATTCCTGAAAAGGCTGGGAGTTCAAATATCATTAAGAATTAAGAAAAGAAAGCTTAAGCCATAAAGGCACCAAGTACTATAAAAAAGGTACGACTCCCTTTTCTTTGACTCCAACGTAGTGTTGGGAGCAGACAGGTTCCAGGGTGAATTTTGGTGGACCTTAGATGGATGCTTCCAAACAGCCTGAGCCAGGCAGAAGCCAAACTCTCCCATTTATTTCAATGCTACCTGAAGGCAACTCTTTTCTAAGAACATGCAAATTGCAACTGTCCCACAAGCTGTAGGCAGATGTGAACAGTTTTCACTCCCCCAACTTAAGGACACTGTTCTTTAAATGCAGCGTAAGGTGAAGAAAATGAGCCAAGTTTGTGGGCTCTCCTTTACCACCCATGTACCCTGCTGCTGACCACCTATCTGTATCTCCATGGATTTTGGAGAGGCTAGTTTTAAAATGTTTTCTCTGCTAAAGTTATGAAATTTAAAGAAGTAAATCTCATTGCAGATCTTATAATTTGTCAGTAGGAAAGTACAGACGTGTACGCTTCCACCACAGTTTTCTTAGCCACAAATGAGCCCTGCACCTTTCCCAAGGTGCACGTCCTGTATGTGCATTAATGTGCTTTTTCTAAAGGAAGTACTAAATTCCAATGTGAGGTGCTAAATTAACACACATTACGCTGTGCTATTGCACCGTAGTGCATTTGCACACTTTTTCAGTGATGGTTAATGTGCAGTAGGCTGTCACTTCTTTTACGTGATGTTTTAATGCACAGTAAAAGTCTACTGTGCGTTAAGGCACAGGGATAGACATGCCCAAGTACCACTCTAATCTTTCCCACACCTGATCTGCTGCTCTGCTTTCTGCTCCCTAACCAAGCTCCCACTCTGCCTTGTGCACCCCACCCTCTGTGTGATGTGCTGCCCGTCTGCGCCTCATCTGCCACGTCTGTCACGCACACATGCACGTGCTGCCCATGACACTTGTCCGGCAGGTTAGCCACCGCTGCGTTTGAGAAATAAAGAGCCGCGGCAGAGCAAACTTCGCTCTTGCACAAGAGGGAGTTTTATGTGCCAATTAGCGAGCGCGGTTCTGGAAGAAACCTGCACCCTCCAGCGGCAGCGCGCGGTTGGGCCAAACTGAACTCGCTTTTGGGAGCGAGAGCGGGCCCAGCCGCGCCGTCCGGGGGGCGCGGGCTAGAAACCCGCGCTCGCGTTGCTGCGCATCTGTCTTCCGGCACGGACTTGTTGGCGGGCTGGCGCTGTGGGTAGCTGGACAGTTGTTTTGAGTGCGAATCATGTTGCACACGCAGCCCCTCTACGCTGGGCAGTGGTGCGAGATACATATCTGCAAGGCCTCCCAGTCCGTAGCCGCGGCCTGCTCCTCCCCCGCCAGGCGCAAGGCTCTGGGCTTGAGGGACCACCCCCTGCGGCTTCACCCTTGCCCCCGGGGGCAGGGGCTGGGGAGGGGCGGTCTCAGTGCGCGCTGGATCCCGCCGCCGCCGGCTCCTCCTCTCTTATGCTCCCGCGGGCCCAGCTGCCCGGCCTGCGCCCCGGCCTCCTGCCCGCCGTCGCCGCAGCCATGAGCAGCGCCC